TGGTGTTGGGTTGACGGTTGGACTCGGTGATCTTAGAGGTCTTTTCCAACCTCAATGATTCTATGATTCTATGATTCTATAATACTGAAATGAGGCAGTGAGCTGAAGAGCTGCTTGAGCACAAAAAGAAGCTACAGTTGAAGGGGAGGGGGGAGCGGCGGCAGTGAAGTTGATCTTCCACATTTCTCAAAAAGTTAAGACAGTGTTGCTCTTTCAGGGGTAATTATGCTAATTCCTGTGCTTATAAACTTGTCTTTGTCCATGAAAATTGCTTGGAATTTGTAGCAAGCCATATTTTCCCCAGCCAGGCAGAGAGTTTCTTGTTTCTTTCCTTGGCTTCCTTTTCGGATTCCCTTAAAGAGGATAGCCTCTGATGTTTTACATTTCTCCTAGTAACCACTGCTGGCCCTGGCTTCCTTTCACAGCCTTGTCTGGGTGTATATGCTACAACAGACCATCTAAACCTAGGTACTACAGCGATAATCTTACACCTCTTTGCCACTTTTAAGTACTGCTGTGGTCTCTCATATCCAAGCCATGCAGCCCCATCCTCCATTGTAAAGTCTGTCTGCAGCCTGGCTGAGAAAGCTGCTGCCAAGTTAAGCTCCTCAGTACTCCAGAGAAACCAATCTGTCTTACCTGAACAGGCTGCAAGCAAAGCTTCGTCGCTCTGTTTTCTTTATGAGAGAAATCACAGGTTGAGAAAGCCTTACTGAAAATCCGGCAAAGGGGAAAGGTGGATGTGAACAGGATTTGGAAACAAGAAGTTTTCCAGAGAGAAGCTCACTTAGCAAGGAAGAAAAAGTTTCTCAAATATATTGGTTTTAGAGGGACTCAAGTAAGTGCTGTGAGTCCAAAGTCAAGGGAGGATGAAGTATCTCTGCAAGAGAGGTTTTGGGGATCCTTTGAGACTGACAGATTCATGGTCATTTTTCTCCTCCAAATAAACTGGATTTTAGAGCTGATTTGTATGTAGTTTCTCTGAAAAATGCTTACAGGTATCTCTGCTCCAGGTTCAGTCACCTGTGGACTCTGCCACAATGTCACCAGTGGAAAGAACAGCTGCGTGGGTTCTCAATAATGGACAGTATGAAGAAGTAGAGGAGGATGCAGAGCAGAATCCGGATGAAGTCAAGCATGCTGAGAAGGTAGACTTTATACTGTATGCAGCCAACTCGAGGGCTGCCAGTGAGTCCTGTCCACCCTACAGCCAAGTTCAGAACGGCTTTCAGGCACTGCTGTGACAGTCATGCTTTCAAACGCAGGTTGTATTGGCATAACTTCCTGCTGTACGTGCTGTCACACATATCTGTAGTACAGTATCCCATACTATAGATTAACCCACGTACAGGCTGTAGCATGTCAAATAGGTGCAAACTGACATAGCTGAGAGTTTGTACATTACAGGCTGGTATTTGGCACTTACGTGCATCGTGAGTCACACTGCCTAAGTGTATTAGATCCTGCTCAAGTCATTTTTTATGACAACACTATAGCTACAGCATACTGCTATTTTTCTATGCTTGCAAAACTTTTTAGTGATCATTAAACTCCATTTAAAAAAAAAATCACGATTGTTAACCCAGCTGAGTATAGCTTAGGATATGCTAAGTTATTGTACAAGGCTCTGTAAATGCAATTCAATCTTCATCAGTAGTTGCATTCAAATTTTGTCTTGGGCTTCACTTGAGGCAAATGCCTGTCATCTAGGTAGTACAGTGTTTCTGGGCTACACAGAAACGTCCATGATGTGTTTTTTTTAAAGCGTATTTATTTTCAGGAGTAGATACCATTTTTCCAAATACAGTTACATCTATATGCTGCTATGGTGATGAAGTTTGTTAAGAGGTTTGGTATTTTGAGAAGGCAGGGAGCAAGGAGTAGAACATTTGGTGGACAAGAAGCAGGAACATAGGATTATTAGAAAAGGTGAATGAACCCAAAACAAAGTGGAATACGTTGAGATTCATTGCACTATTGCAGAAGTGATTGTCCACAGGGACAGTAAGTAGAAGAACAAAACCTCAGCCAAGTAAACTTACAGGCTCTATTCTGTAGTGAATGATCTGCTCTGTCTTCACACATGATTTCATGCCTTGATTAGGTCCTGAAGAATGAGTTATTTGGGTCCCATACTGGTCCCGTTTTGTAAGCTTGGTCACCCCAGGACATTTTTACAGTTGAGCACTATTAGCAGCTTCTGTCTGGGAACTGCTTGAGTCTGGAGTAACTGGGGATGTTACCGGTCAGGGCTGAGGAACCATGTCAGAGCTCTCTGACTGCTTAAATTGTGCTACAGAATGACATCCTGTAGTGTGGTAATAGCTTAATGCTCAATGGGAGCCTACATGCTCCTTGCCTGTGGTTGCCCACAGTTGGTTGTTTGTCATCTTCTTTACTTCTATAAATTTATTTTTCATGAAAAAAATAATGTCCTTCTCTGAACAGCAGCAGATTATAATGATCTGATCTCTTCCTTTTTCCTTTGCATCTGATTCTTTCCTTCTTTCCTTCTACCTGCAGTATGAACAAGAGATAGCAAAGCTGAAGGAGCGCCTGAAGGTGTCAAGTCGCCGGCTGGAGGAGTATGAGCGGCGACTCCTGGTGCAAGAGCAGCAAATGCAGAAGCTGCTGATGGAGTACAAGTCTAGGCTGGAAGACAGTGAGGAGAGACTACGCAGGCAACAGGAGGAGAAGGACAGCCAGATGAAAAGTATCATCAGCAGGTGAGGCTTTGGAAAGTTTAGGACTGTGTAGGACAAGCAGCTCCCCTGTGTCATGTGTTCTCTTTGACACTAAAGAAGGTAGTTGCATGGGCTTCTTGACGTCTCTGGACTGATACCATCCTGCCTTAGAGATGAAGAAACGGGGGTGCAGGTGTGGAAACTTGCCTCAGATTGCCAGGAGAGTGAAGGAAAAGATTTAGGAAATTTTAACCCTGGTCTCTGTCATACTTATAACAGGTCTTTTTGCTCTGTTTGGAATCTGTACTCAAGGCAGTAGTTTTTCAGAGCAGTTGCGTTTTTGGCATTGTCCACTTTGAGAATAGCAAGGGTAGGCAATTGGGAGTGTCAGATGGATAGATAAGCTTTTCCAAGTGCAGCAGAATTCTTCTCTTGCAGAGCCAGGACAATCAGAGAAGTCAAACCAACAGGCCAGAGTCACTGAAACACTCTGGAATAGTATTAAACTGTCCTAATTTGTACCTGGTTTTGCTCATCAGACTCATGGCAGTTGAAGAGGAACTGAAGAAGGATCATGCAGAGATGCAAGCTGTCATCGATGCAAAGCAGAAAATTATTGATGCACAGGTAAGGAGCTCAGGATCTCCAAGAGCCAAGTGTTCTGTGCGTAGAACCCATTTTTTTCCCCTATTCTCCTGCCCCAGCATTGTTATCTAGCTCCCAAGCCAGTATTGGCCCATGGTGTTGCACATGTGACTTACTGCCTTCTAGGAGAGAATTGGGTTTTTTAATTCATAAAGACTGTACTGTCTGACACTAGGCTTTGAGACAGCCTGGCAACAAATCACAGGACTGATCGCTTCTCCAAAACCTTTTCTACTTTGTGAGATCCCAAGGGGGTAAAGGAATAGCCGTGCATTGCGTAGACAGTGTTCCAAGCGTGGGCCTGGGAACTCTGGAAAAGCTGTGCCTCATACCAGCATAGTTTAATTGCCATGTGCATGCATCTTAGCTATGCAAGCTAAAAGCATGGCTTTGAACGTTCGAGTCAAGAAAAGAGAATGCTTGCAATGGAGCATTGCCCTGTATAACGTCATACGTGGCATTTCACCCCATCTGACTGTCCACGTCAGTCCTGGAGAAATGCCCAGTTTGCCACAAACCTGCAGTGCTTGCCTCAGGCAACACGAGTTAACTGTGGGAAGTGGGACCCAGTGGGCAGTGCATGCGGGTGTATTGTGTGGGATCATTTCAGCTTTTCTTCTGTGTCTGTGCTGATCCCAGAGAGCAAAGCTTGTACAACAGAACCTGAGACTGGTTTGATATCTGCCTGCCATGTTATGTTTGTGATATTTGCATTTGGAGGATGTCTTTCCTGCTTCTGGGCTTTTCGGTAGTTCCAACTGTAAACTTTCCTTAATAGATAATCTTAAGAAGATGACCTGTTTCAGGAATAACCCAAGTTATTTCAGAAAGTTGTTTCCCTACACAAAGAGTGGCGGCGGGGGGGAGCCTCAGTTGAACATTGTTAAAGATGGGACTGGTGTGTTAGAATACAGGCATAAGTGAGCACAAAAGGGCATACCCTGGCCATTTTTTTCCTGTTGAATGGCCAGCAATAATAGAAATGTTTGAGCTCACATGGAACTGTAGGGAAAATACAAAGTAGAAAAAAGCTGTGTTTTTAAAAGGTTGGTAACACTAGGAGCATATTTATAGCAGATTTCTTTTCGATAACTTGAAAAGTTCTGTTTTTCCTGCTGCCTTTGCCCGTTTTCCCGCAGTTCTTCAGAAAGACTGTTCGTGAAAGCTGGATTTTTGTATCAGTGCCATTTGAATAAATCACTTGTGTACAATAACATGGCACTTCTGTTACCTAGCCTTGCAGAATAAAAAGAAAATTCTACTGGAATTACACCATATATAGTTCCTTGTTATTGTGCAAGATGCTCTACATGGAGACACCAGTGTAGTCACCCTTTCTAGATGCAGCTCAAGATTAAATCCTTTCTGTGAGGACTTGCACTCAAAATGCAAAGGGGGAGAGTGCAGTGCTGGAGAATGAACAGGAATGTAGTCAGTCGCTATTTTTTTTCTTCGTGGTGGGGGAACAGTACAGCAGCCTCCAATCTGATCAAGAAGTATGGCAAGTGGAAGCTGGAGTACAAGTTGAATGTGCTGGGCCATTTTTAGGAGATAGGCACAGTCAGGGCATCTTGCTGTTACACACTGATGGAATGGCAGCTCATTCAAACAGCAGCCTGGTTTTTCATTTGCCTCAAGAAGGTGAAAGGGGCACTGAGCAAACTCATAAAAAGTGATTTTTTTTTGGAGGGGAGGATATGAGAGATTGTGAGTGAATAAGAAACTTGCCCTTCCCTCTGTTACCTGTCTATGCCAGTAGGCTCTCAGCCTCGGTGTGAGGTTATGGGCTAGCAAGGTGAAAAAGTGATTTTTGGAGGGGAGGATATGAGAGATTGTGAGTGAATAAGAAACTTGCCCTTCCCTCTGTTACCTGTCTATGCCAGTAGGCTCTCAGCCTCGGTGTGAGGTTATGGGCTAGCAAGGTGGAGAGTGGACCAGTCTGATCCCTCAGTGTCACCAGCTGGCAGAGGCGACTGCTGTGGACTTGTGAAAGCTTCAAACCCTCAGGGCTGGAAAGGTGTGGTACTTGATCAAATGATGCATCATTTATCACCTGCAGTGGAAGAAATTGTTGAAAAAACAGTAGCAAAACAGTAGCATTAATGATTCCTCTTTTAATCTGACTTTTTTTCTTCTGAAGTGCTGTTAGCTACTTGGGCAAGCAAGGTCATCAGCAAACATTAACTGCTTCAGTGTCAACCAGTTCATGAGGGAAGCTCAGTTGTCATTGCCCTTTCATGGGTACCTGAGCAGAAGAGGAAACTGATGAAAGATTCAGAACAGACACACCAGAGGAGCCCAAGTGTTTGCTGGGTTCTGTAGCAATCCCTCTAAGTTGTGCTTGGAAGATTTTTCTTAGTCTGTGATTCATTTGGCAAAGAGATATAGCAGTGGCTAGAAAAGAAAAGGTTTTTTTCATGTGAGATTTATGGAGTGGAGTTGGAACCTGGCTTATCACACCTGTTTGAAGAGTTAAATGGCTGCTAGGAAACAGCAGTAACCCGGGCTTCTTGTGCTTAGTTACATCACCACAAGATGCTTTTCAGGATTTGCTCTTTTGCCTTGTGGTCAGGTGCAGCACCCAATACTGTACTGATGCACAAGGACAGCCTTGTTCTCAGTATACGTGCTGTTGGCACTGGCTCTGGGCAGCGCCTCGTGTGCGCTGTGGTTCCAGAGGCTGTCTCTGGGCCTCCCTGACTGAGCAGGGGCTGGGTCTGGCTAAACTCTCTCCTTGGAGCAGCGGAGCTGCAAAGAGTACTAGCCCAGTTGCTATTGCAAGTGACATCTCCGCTGTGTTAAATTACAGGTCATAAATGGGGATGAGATAATTCAAACAGGCAAGTAAACCCAATCAGTTCTCTAGCTGAGCAGTACCCAGTCCTGGCCCAGTGCACTGACCTCCTACCCATTCCAGCTCCTCCCACTCCCTGTGCCCAATTCGTGTGTGTTAGAGACATGTTTGTAGATTGAATTTTCCTTTGAGTGAGAAGATGCTTCTACTCACCAAGCTCATGCTTTTAAGATTGATTTTCCAAGTGTGTATTTCCAGCTGTTTTGCAAACTGGCATAGTGAGCACTCATCAGAGCCAGAAAGTAACCAGCCTTTCATTTTTAACTCTTTGGAGAGCTATATTCTTTGGAAAGAAATTTTAACTTTAAATTATATATTCCAGGTGAAATTTAGTCTGAGGAGGAGGCGCTTTAACTTGCTGAAGAACACATTTCTGCTAAGGCAGTTGTGTTTTGCAGGATTTATTTCAGCATGGGAGGAAAGGCTAAGGCCTTTAACTCCTCCATTGTCTATTCTCCTTGCTTATGTTGAGTGGATCAGGGCAAGTGCTAGGGCAGGCTATAGCCTGCCTTGCTGTTTGATTTCTCATGCCTCCTCCTCTTCCATTTGCTCTGCTATACAGAGCTCGGTCTCTTCAGGGCTGTAATACAAGCAGTACTTAAATTCTGCTTTGTTTTTGCACCCTAACATTTACCCCTGTGGGGAAGCCCACTGAGAAAAGCAAACATTACTTGATTACTGATGTACCACACAGCTGATGTGCTGGGATCAGAATCTCAAGGGACTGTTGTAGCACTTAGATCTCCTGAGCAGTATGTCTGAACTATCCCTTAATGTTTGTGCCTTCTGTGCATCGTTTTTCCTTCCATTTTGTTTCTCAATGGGCTGGACTGGGAAGAGTTCCTGCATGCAGCTTTTTTCATTCAAGTAAATTAGACATTTTTCCTTCTGAAAGAAAAAAATGCTAATCAGCTGGTAGCATGGAGAGCATATTTACCTTTTGCTGTCTCTGTTGCTGCTTTGTGTGGCTGCATTATTTTCTTTTTTTTGAGGGAAGATGAAAATTGTCATTTCTAATTGTGCCACCAACTCTTTGGCTTGACCCTCCAGTGCTTTATTCCACTGCAGGTAATCTAGCTGTTAGTAGGCTGGGTTTTGTTGATGGGGTTTTTATTTTTTATAAATTTAGTACACATCATTTAGCTTTCTGCCAAAAGTGGAGGCTAGCACTTGCTGTGCCAGAGGAATCAAAACTGGGATGTAGGAACCATGGATTCAGCGGAGCCCGGGAGCCCCTCTGAGCTGGAATGGGTCTAGGAGCAGTGTGTTCAGTGTTTGTTCTTTGTGTTCTGTCGATGGCATCTCCCCCTCCACCCACACTGCCCTCTTCCCCTTCACCTCAAATAACCCCTTAGTTTTAGCTTCTGGCTGCTTCTTCTCTATGTTGCTATTGCACCCTCACTTCTGCTGGTGACTGCAGGCTGCCATTATCTGCTTTTTTTTTTTTTATTTATTTCAAGCATACCATGAGTTTATTCTGAGCACACTCCATTCAAAATACAGAGACAATGGCCGTTAGATACCACTTGCACTTTTCTCTGCCAGATGAAACCTCCACCACTTTTATTTTCTGCTGCCTGTTTCTGTTTTTCTAACATATTTAAAAAAAAAAAAATTAAATTGGCTATTGTTGTTACTAACACCGACACCCTTCCCCCTTCCCATGGCAAAATACTGCATTTCCGTCTGCCTCGGTTGGAGGCTGTCTGGATAAAGCCACTGTGACTGGATCAATGCACCAATGTAACTTTGACTCACTGTCACCTTCCATCATGCAAAAAGGCCAGGAGGGCCAGACTGGCCTGTGAAAAGCCCGTGGCACGCAGGGGCCATGTTACCCCAAGAAAACAGAAAGAGGCAGACATCCCATCTTACCAGAGAATGTTAGCCAAGCTGCCTCTGCCTAGAAATCATCTGAAGACACTGTCACAGCCCCGGGTCCTGGAGGTTCCCCATAAAGCAGGCTTGTGGGGCAAAGGCATTCCATTTGTGAAGGAGCTCTGACTTTGTGGGGTGTTTGTTGCAGGAGAAGCGGATCGTGTCCCTGGACTCTGCCAACACGCGGCTGATGAGTGCCCTGACGCAGGTGAAGGAGCGCTACAGCATGCAAGTCCGAAATGGCATCTCCCCCACCAATCCCACCAAGCTTTCCATCACGGAGAATGGTGAATTCAAAAACAGCAGCTGCTAACTGGGCAGATGCTGCCGGCCATCTCCCCAGGAGAAGGGCAAGAGGGAGCAGACTCAAGAAACCTTCAAAATAGCCCCCCCTTCCCCTTACAGGTTTACATAATGCTGCTAATAAAATGGAAAAGAGAAAGAAGAACTCTGAAAGGTGGGCTTTAATTCCCCACTCGAGGCCAGGAGAACCAGGCTCCCAAGAACAAGTCCTTCCGTATCACTGTGTAAATAGAGGGAGCTCTTGGGTCATGTACAGAAAACGCCGATGTAATATACCAAAAGGAAGTGAATACTGTAGATTTTTTTAATTATTGCTATTTTTATTATTATTATTTTTTTCTCTTGTTGAAAGCACTGCAGTCCTTGGAGGAGGAAGAGGGGAGTGTGAGTGCATGTGTGTTGTGGGTGAGAGAGAGAGAGAGAGATGAGCAGTGGGTTACATTAGACAGCAGCTGTATATATCAGGCTGACTGATACAAGTACATGAGTGGAGTGAAATAGTAGTGAAATGAATTCTATAAGAAAACTCATCTGCTGGTTTTATTCCCCTCTTCTCTAGCTGTTCTTTAACTGAATGCAAGCTTGATAGCAAACAATTTAGCAAGAAAATTGGCTCTTGCTGGATCCTGTACCTACTTTCGGTAGGACTCTGGTAAAAAATTTTCAGTCTTTTTGAACAAGGTAAAAACTTGGAGCAGCAAGCTTGTTTCCTTGCATTTGCACACAGTCAGGCTTCCCATCAAACAGACAGAGGGAATCTGCAGTTTTTCAAGGTAGGATTCTTTCTTTTTTACCCCAGTTCTAAGGCAGTTTTATATTTTCTGTTTTGAGAATTTACAGACCTGTAAATACTTTTTTTTTTTTTTAATTCCTATCCAATCCCCACTTGCGCACCATGCAGTGGCACCCTGAATTCATTCTCTGCATTCCATCAGGAAGAATCAGGTTCATGCTCTGAGGAAAGGGCTAACCGAAGGGTGCCCATGCCCAGTAAAGTAGAGGTTCATATGCAAAATTTCCTTTTTCCTAGAGGATTTCTATATTTTAACTCTCGTTCAATTTCACTATTTCAGCCGCTAGCTTAGCCGGTCTAGTTCCAATGACAGATGCTTTCTGCACGTTTGTGTTAAAAGATCTTCCATTTCCACTGAAATTTGCCTTTCTCTGGATACTTTAAAGGTGGTTTGTGGGTTTTGGTGGTTTTTTTTAAGTTCTGTACACACCAGTTTTTTCTTAAGGAGTTTTGACTAAGCTTTCATCTCCAGTTACTTTCAGTTGCATTTCATAGAAGCATACTTACAGGCTCTATGTGAATGTGTATATAATTACAAAGTGACCTTCTCGTGGAAGATAATGACATTCACAAACTGTAAAAGACTAACAATAAATGACACAGTATTATCAATTCTCATGATTTCATGAAATGCCACAATATTTAGTCTGAGAGGTTTTTTTAAAGCCCCAGATTCTAGAGTCAAGTAATAGTGTGTGAAGCTTCACTTTCACTTTTTGGTATACATTTCTAGCCCCCAGACTCTCAAAGTAAATAAAATTATTGCAACAGCAATTGAAATTGTGAATTACAGAAGTATGCTAATAACAGTGAGTGTGATTAACCATTGAAACTAGTTATGGAAATTAGAAATTGGAAAAGTTGACTTCAAAACGAGACAAAACCTTGAGAGGGTTGCCTCAGCGTGGGATGTGTTCAGCAAGCGGTTCAGGCTGCAACTAGGAAGAAGCTAATGAGGTGGCTCTGGGAGTACCTGGCTGAAACCGTATAGCCTGTGATACGGAGGAGGTCAGAGCTGATGATCTGATTATCCTTTCTGGCCTTAGTTTCTGAATCTCTAAAATTGTACTACATTAAAAATGTAGGTGTTTCTAAGCCAATTTCTTGACATCCCGAAAGTGACCCGTGTTGCCTTGAACATGAAGGATTGGCAATACCGAGGACCCAAATTCAGTGTCTGTTGTCAAGTTTGTTTGTTCTTTGGAAATGAATTACTCTCGCCTCTGTGGGCAAATGCAGCTTGTGACAGAGCACAGTATGTTAACTGTTCTGCTTGATTATTGTGTTACGATACTTCAGTTAAGCGTCATCACACAAGTACGTTACATTACTAACTATGCATAAATACAGAGACCACATCTCCTGCACTGTAGGATATATAAGAAATATGTGTATGAATGTCTCTTAGCAAGGCCTTGGCCGTTAATTTACATCTAGAGGAGACTTGTCTGCAGCGAGTTGGGATTTATATTTAATGCTTAGTTCTTTCGGATCAAAGCTGCTCTGGCTGCTTGAATGTGACTTGGTACTGCAGTCCAGGGAGCATCCCTGTCTTGTTCTTGGTGTATCATAGCCAAGTCAGCACTGTCTGACGCACCTGGGCTTGTGCTCTGCTTTTGCTCAGTAGTGATTTCTTTTCGATACTTTCCAAACCGTCTTCCAGCTCTGGGTCGTTGCTGACCTCTGATATTTTCTTCCTCAAACTGTGCCTTTAAGTTCCTTCTTTCCTTCTTCCTTCATGCATCACAGCCATAGGCAGTCTATCAAGTTTGTATTAATCTGTCTTGTGAGTAGCTCTCTTTTAACCTTTGCAACCCCCTTTCTGTTGAGTATTTTTGCGTGATCTGCATCTCCCCTTTACTATGTACTGTAATTATACAGCTGCATCATGGGAAATTTGTTCATAAAAGTAGCCTTTTCAGATGGGCATGTGCATTGCTCACTTATTACACAGTGCAAATAGTATGGGTGTTCTGTGACTGAGACATGAGATCAAGTGGTCGTAGGAATACATTGACTAGAACAAGGCAGAGGCAGATACGTCATTCTGGTAGCGTTTAGCCTAGCATTCATTTGGGAAACGCATTTCACCAGAGCTCCCCAGCTTTCTGGTAATCTATCAAAGATCACTGGCTGAGCTGTATGGTTTGATGCTGAAGTCGCCGAGACGTCCATTTTGATTTCTGCAGAGAAATGCAATAGGGGCAACATTTCAGCCCTGATTTTTGGAAGGGAAATAATACCTGCCGCAAGATTGATGTTTTGGTGAGCTCTTCAGTAATGAATCATTCTAATAATGTACCTTCTCCTATGTATTTCTTAAGCATGTAGAATGCTTGTAGGAAAATGTTGCTATTCTAAAAGTGTATCAGTATTGTTTTCACAGCTTGTTGCTAGGCAGGTTGTCTCTCTTCTACTTCAGTTTCTCCCCTAAAGTGCAAAGTGTACTACTCTAACTCCCGCTATAGAGGAGAAGCTGCCTGTTGACCCAAAAGCGGGTGAGGGTTGCAGACTCACAATGCTGCAAGACTAGAATTGATTAGGTGCAGAACAAAACGTTATGCTCCTGCAGGCAGCTGTCTCTCCTAGTTTCTTACCAAGCAGCTTTCTAGAGGAATTTTAAGCCGCTTCAAGCCGACAATATGTGAAAATGCCAGCTTCTATTTTGTCCAGTCTGATAAAATTCAAGTGGCACTAAACCACGTGGCAGCCGAAAGGTCTGTCTGTTTTGGAGCAAGAGCCCTATCTGGGCCTGATCACATTTGGTTTAAGACTAGTAGCCAGTGGGTTTCTGCAGCAAAGAGAGAAGAAGTAAATAGTGCGAAGTCTGATGATGTGCATTATAGACATTAGGTTTTGGTTCGTACTTTCAGCCATGCATCAGGCTGTGTCTAATGCTGTTGCAAGCAACTGCTGCTCTCATTTGGAAACAGCTGAAGTAGCGCAGGAAAAAATTAATAGCTTGTGGGAGTAATACTCGTGTGTTCCTAAGACTGAAACAGAAAAGTTGCCCCATCCTGGCATCTCAGTCCTTTCTGGCCACGTTCCTCAATACTGCTCTAGGGTGGTTCTTCCCAAACCACAAAGGCACCCGGGCTTCCGAGTTCTCAGTAAAAGCTCACGGCCAGCATGGCGGGGCAGGGAAATGGAGCAGCATTGTGTAGCACTGCGGCCTTTTGCCATGTTGTGTGTGGTGTCTGCAGAGCGTATGAAGAACAGAGGTGACCAGAATGACGTGGGATAGGCACTAAAGGAGAAGAGAGGGAGCAGGGCCTAGGAGTGGCATCCTGTAAATGCCCATTCTTTGCAACTCTAGGAATTCTAGACCTTTTCTTTAAGGGAAAGAGACAGATTTCACGTCTAGGAATTACCAACTGTTATTTCCCTGGTGTATTAGAAATGGGCAGCTACGTGTAAAAGCACAGATTCATACAGCTACACATTTTGCAACATTTCTTTCCAGCGGAATAACTCTAAGCAGGGGATCCAGGGACAGGTGGAAAGGGATGTGTATATTTTCTAGTTAGAGAATATGAGGTGTATCCAGTAGTAAATTCTGTACCCATCTAATAAGTTGTCCAAGAAGTGGGTTTTATTTTGTGTTCTTGCAATTGCTTTGGGTTGGCTTAGGCTTTTTTTTTTTACATGATACATTAACTTCATGTTTTAATGATTGCTTAAACCCACCAGCTTTTAACTTCATCTGAAAACTCAATGAGTGAAGTCTGTCAATTTTACAGCAGTGCCCATGGAATGTGTCGGCAATACTTGTCTGCTAAGGTCACCATGTATGTATGAATTCTGTTTGTGTTCTGCAAAAATATCTGTGTCGTTCTGGAAAACAATTCCTGTCCGAGTTGAAGCATTAAATGTATTTATATCAGTGATTAGCATGGTCAGCTGAGTGTGACAGAGCAAAAAGGGTTAAATTTAGGCTGATGCTTTTAGATGTTTCCTTCTCCACAGTAAGTTAACTCCCATGAGAGCAAGCATGTCATTAGATCATGCCTGCCAGGAATCCTACCTGTAAAAATAGATTTTCTGTCTCAAGGGCCTTAATAACAGTGTTACTACACAGAACTGTTTTACAATGATAGCTCTAAATAATTTATTTTTTATTTCAACAAAGTACACCTTAAAAAGTAATAAACTTGTTTTTCAAGCCGTATTTTTATGCTAGTAGCACTGGACTGTTTGGTGTCTGAGATCCATTTCTGCATTTCATTGCCTGGGTTTGTTCTAAAGAAGATTTATTTTTGTTCTGTGAATAATTTTTGAAGGTTCTTGTAATATGTACAGATATAGATACATTTGAGGTCTTTTATTGATATTCCTACAAAGAATACAAATAAACTTTAACTTTAAACAGTTTGGACTCAGTAAACCTATGCTGATTTAAAATTCTGCTCCTTCTGCTCTCGGGTGGTACTTGTGTTTCGTGTAACTTCAGAGGGTGGAGGGAAACTCAGGCCGTGTAACTTTAATGTTTGGGACCAAGTAGCTCCCATTTGACACCTGGAGCTACTGGGGTAAACCAAGGGGGTCCGTGGCGGAGCAGAGCAGCAGAATTCATTCCTTTCTCATGTTTCTGTGGCTGGGTGTTTTGCTGGGGGCCCGGCACGGGTGCCAGTGCTGCATCCCGGAGCTCTGCCTCCCCGTGCCGGCAACCTCTCGAATCTGTCTGTTTGCTGGGAAATATCTGGCATTGTGGAGTGAGAGAGCGACAAGCTGTGGAGACATGGAGAATTGCTCTCTGCTTCTTCTAGGCATGGGATTATTTGGATAATAATAACATCTTCAGTGGCGAAAAGAGAGTTACCTTGTATTAATTAATGTGTTTATTCCTCTCATGCCGGACCAGTGAATGTGATCAGCCCGGTTTTCTTGTTCAGTCAGTTCCTGGTTTACAGGTTCTCATGCACCAGTCCAAAGCTGCAGTGTTTGAGGCATGGACGTACAGAGGAATATTTATTTACAGGTTCACATAAAATGCTGGATTCTCAGCAGTTTATATTTATGCTTCATATGTGTCTGAAATCTTGTATATAATGGGCGGGAAAACCTTTCATATTGAACTTATTGAATGCAAGATCTATACTCAAGGGGATGTTTTGCTAAAGTCTTTTTCTTTTCATTTCACGTGATATTTTTTTCCATAGCTTTGAAGCCTGCAAAATACACACAGCAAACTTTCAGTTGTTCCTGTGTGCCTCCACCCTGGCCCTACACTTTGTTCTGTTCAAGTCCCCTGCATGTTCTGCCTTGTTCTTGCTTAGGCTGTAAGTTTTGCATGCCAGGAGCTTTCTTCCTGCGTGTCTGTACAGAACCCAAAACAGCGGGTGCCTGATGCTTCTGGGCACGAGGGCGGCACAAACAGCGTCTCTGAAGGAGGTGGATCTGTAACTTCCCACACCCGGGTCCTGTCCGATCTCAGTGCTCGCCCAGCAGAGTCACCTGCTCCTCTGTGGCAATGCTAAGCACTGCCCAGGGGAGGGGGCAGGCCCAGCAGCCCAGATGTGAACAGACAGAGGCAGGTGAGAAGAGGGATAGGATGGGATGTAGACCTAGCGGGCAAAGTGATCTCAGTATCATGTTTGCTGTCATGGTTTTGGCAGGGGGGGGGGGGGGG